CTATTTTAATTATTTACTATTGTTTATATTGTAAAGAGTTTATTTTGTTTATTATGTACAAGAGGGATAAAAATAAATAAATGTTTTAATATAATTTTATTTTACTAAATCAACTCCATCTATTGTCCTATTTGACAACTAAAATTTAATTTGATAAACATAACCTAACTTTTCGGATTTATTAATTTTAAAATAATTTCATTTCGTTTATTTCCTTTTTTTTTCGTATGAACTATGTACATTTTTAGTTAAATTATCTTAATAAGTACATATATTAAAAATAAAAAATTCTAAGTCGTTTTTTTTTTTGAGGTTAATTTATCTAATGGAATTTTTTGTTGATGTCAAACCCATCGTCCATTGCGGATTCTTCCGCGCAAATTCTCGGAAACCATCCCTTTTTGCTTGGTTCCTGAGGATTATCAATTATTTCAATTTTTTCCCCGAATAACCAATATTTTCTCCATCTTGTCACTAAAAGTTTATCACCAATGGAGAGTTTTAATCGTGGTTCATCAGTGCAAGGTGGGTGAAGGCAAACACCAAAACCTTGCGTAATTGGCAACCAAGAACCAGAAGAAGCTCTAATGATTAAGTATAAGCGAGTTCGTTGTCTTTTTGATAGCTTTTGCTCAATTTGTTCTTTCTAAAAATTATTTATAATTATCTTAATACATTAATTATTCATTACGTTATTGAATTAATTACTGTTAAAGCAAATTCATCACACCCATCTTTAACACTCCAATTAATTCCATCACCAACAGGAACCGCCTGCCAATTAATAACTTGTTTGATATTATTTGAAACTCCCAAATCATAGGGAAAATCAAAAACTTCATTGGTTCCTTTTCGTCGATGGTTTGCTTTTTCAATAATCCAGTCTTCGATTCCTGTTCTATTTCTTGCTATCGCTCTAGCCTAAAATATATTTTTTTTTTAGATATGTGTTAATTTTTTAAAAATGTGGTTTACTTGGAAGAAAAATAAGATCCCAACTGCAATTACAACCCCGAGGGCTAAACCAAGCGCAAAAACGGAAATTACAATCCCATATAACCCCAAAACAACAATGGGTTGGCCGGTAATACCGTGGTAAATATACCAAGATCTATAGAAGGCTCTATATAGAGTGCATGATAAAATTATCGACGCATGGAAACAACCCAAGACTGCAAAAGCTAAGAAAAGTGCGAAATGTGCGTGATTTCCCCAACCAACACAAGTATTAATCCAAGGACAATGATGGTCCATTTTTAAAACGCATCTTTTACATTTTCGGCAATGATGTGATCTAGGAGCTTTATAACCATTACAAACATTACAAAATTGTAAAAAAGCTGTATTTTCTTCATTTTCCTACAAAAATAAACTCAAACAAATTACCTTTTAATAATCAAAACTTACAGGCTTCCATTTAAGTGGTAAAAACCCAGGTCCATGAAAAATAGCTGATAAAAAATTATACAAAGTTAATCCTGATAACGACATGAAACAAATCGTATTGAGAAGACCTCCGAACGATGAGGAAGGCCACCAAATATTTGAACAATGAATAGTGACGCCGGTTACGCATTTTATGATACCTACAAAAATATTAATTAAATAAACCGGCGAAATGAGGGGTAGTAAAAAATAGTTACAAAGTGCGGTTAATGGTCCCCAATGTCGTACTTTAGCCAGCGGTCCGAAACACATCTTCACTCAAAACGTGAAATAATCGATTTCATAGAAAATAAGTTTCTTTTTGTTTCAATACACGAAGAAATAAAGAAGTTGCGTTTGTGCCATAACCTTAAAATAGTGCATAAATGTCAATTTGACTTTTTAAATTGACGTAAATGTAAATACGGTTGCCAACTGATAAAATTTTATTAAAAAAAAAAAAATATATTTAATCAATAAACATTATTATCGTTAAAAAATAATTTATTTACGGGTTAACACAGGTCCCCTTAAAGGTAACAGAGTTCAATAACAATAATAAGAATTTTTTAAATAATATCCTGGAATTTTCTAGAATTTTCATAAATTTGAATTTTAAATAATTTCAATAATTAATCGGCTATTGTATGTAAAAATTCTTTTAAAAAACGAATTAAAAATCGTCGCGTTTTTCCCATATATACCCAGAAAATTGAAACCAAACCGATTCTTATTTTAAGTGTCACGTTAATACTTCCTTTAAAAATTATTTTAAAGACAAAAAAAAATAAATCATGAATCTTCAAGAAGATATCGTTATTTCCGGCATTGGCGGTTATTTTCCAAAAGCTCATAACATTGTTGAATTCAAAAACAACTTGTATTCGAATGAAATCTTATTAGGGTCTCGTTGGAAAGAAGGTAATAAGAAATTATTTAAGTTTTAATCTTTTTTTAATCATTCCTAAAATTCTTTATATTTATGTATTTAAGGTGAATTAGGGGTTTGTAATAAAATTGGAGTTATCACTGGAGCAGAACATTTTGATACCGCTTTCTTCGGAATTCACCGTCATCAGGCGACTTACATGGATCCCATGCAAAGATTGATGATGGAAAGAACTTTCGAAGCGTTAATAGATGCTGGGGTTAATCCTCAAGATATAAGAGGAAAGAAAATTGGGGTTTTTACAGCTTCGTCAATCGGTGAAAATGATAATCTATTTTATGAGTCGATTGTAAGTGGTTTTGGGGTTACTGGACATTCAAGGGCTATGATGTCTAATCGAATTTCTTATTGGTTAAATTTAAAAGGTAATGTATAATAACTAAGCTACATTACATTTACATAAATTACATATCGGGTAGGCGCACCAACCAGCCTTGCACTGTGACCCTAAGGATCCTATTGTACCCCGATAGATAACGTTACCAAATTTCACCGTGAAGTCCAATGCTCTTAACGAACCTTATACGAACCATTAATACCTTGCTCGGTAAAAAATCATTCAGATCCTTTGTGAAGATAAAACTGTGGTATAAAACATGCTCAACCGTCTCCTCGTCCTCCGCACATAGTCGGCATTCAACATCGTCGGCTAGCCCCAACAAGTTGAGGTGTGTCTATAATCGGCAGTGCCCAGTAAAGACACCCATTAAAACTTTAATGCTGCTATCAGCAAGTCTTAAAATCAGTAGAGGCGATACAGCTTATCAAAAAACTTACTAGAGTTACGAGAGTTCCATCTACATTAATATATCTGATAATAATCACGAATGGACTGTAGTTATAGTGGTCACAACATGCTATACTGTAATGTTACGTGTAAATCTCCTTTGAAAGAACCTGTTTTAAAAACATACCGTGCGTTGGCATCTATTAACATAGATTCTTTTTTGCTTGATTTGTATGATCTTCCCCTGCATTTTATTTTTCGTATGCCTAACATTGATGATAAAATTTCTTTCTTTACACATTCCATTTTAAACTTGCTACATGTACATGCTCCTTTAATTATCAGAAAATTTATTAAGCCCTACCTTCGTTGGATCACTGCAAATGTAAAGTTGTTTAATTGTAACAACAGGGCAGCCATCTGGGGCCTCTGTTGTTCCTTCTTTACATTAACGACGTCTTTGGCTCCTCTTCCCATTGCCGCTCTCTCATGTATGCTGACGACCTTAAATTGTTTCTCCCTATTTATATTGTAAATGATTGCGTCAAATTGCAAAGTAACCTTGACGATCTATGCGAGTTCTGTTCTGATAACTGTCTTGTTATAAATATCTCTAAATGTGTAACTATAACGTTTACTAAAAAACAGAATCATATCTCTTATAACTATACACTCGGCAATAACGTCCTAAATAGGATCATCTGTTCGAGATCTTTATCATCATCCTTGATCAAAAGCTATCTTTTGGTCTTCATATTGATGGAGTGGTGAACAATGCATATAGGACGCTCGGTTTTGTAATGCATTCTTGTCAGGATTTTACAGATCCGTATGCGATCATCACTATTTGTAATGCTTTTATCAATAGCATCTTGAACTTTGGTAGTTGTGTCTGAAATCCCCAGTATTCTTGCTATATCGACAGACTTGAGAGGATTCAGATGAAATTCTTAAAGTTTCTTTCTTATAAATCGCATCATGTTTACGAAGACTATAACACTGCATGTGGAAAGTATCGTTTACTCACTCTCCGTCAGCGGAGACTACTTGCGGATGCCATGTTCTTGCATAGATTACCCAACGGACTCTGCGATTTTCCTTACCTTCTGTCTTGTGTCAATTTACATGTTCTTCCCCGTCAACTCCGTTACGATTTCCTTTTCTATGCACCTACACCGCGCACAAACGCTTATAGAAATTCTCCTATCATTAGAATGGAGAGAGCAGTAGACCGTCTCGGCATTGAGTTATTTGTGTTCAGTAATCAGAGGTATAAGTCTCTCGTTCGAAACATTATCATAAATGCGGACGAGCGGTTTCAGTTTTATTTTTATTTTAGTTTTTTATAATTCCCTGTTTCGCATACTGTTTAGCTGCTTTTTTTCCTTTTCCCTAATTTCTTTTTCTTCGATGTAGATGCTGATTAATTTTGTATATGGTATATTGCATATATCGTGTTATATATATTATATTGTATGTATTAACTATGTGGAGCAATGTCTTTGGGTATGTCCCGTTTTTGATCGCTTGGAAGGTAAATAAATAAATATAGTTAATGTTTGCCTAGAAGAGGGTGTTTTTCCTTCGCAATGGAAGACAGCAATCGTTATTCTGCCACCTAAAGTAAGCAATCCCACTACCTATCGGGACCTTAGACCAATAAGCATATTACCGGTATTATCAAAGGTGCTGGAGACGGTTATATACAAATAATTGTTTGCGTTTTTGGAGGGAATTGATTTCTTACCATGTTGTCAGTCGGGCTTTAGAGAAGGACATAGCTGCTGCACAGCTTTAATGAAGGTGACTGCTACGGATAGGGGTAAAGTTACAATACTCGTGCTACTTGATTTCAGTAAAGCCTTCGATACGGTTAGTCACGATACTTTGCTTAATATTCTGTCTAGGATGGGGTTTAGTGCGGTGGCTTTGAGTCTTTTAGGCGGTACCTTTGTGACAGGTTTCAGATAGTTAAAGTGAAGCAAAATTTTTCTGAACGTCGCGTCGTTTGGAATCTTCAGTATCACTGGTATAAATCCAGAATTGAGCGTATTCAATCTAAATTCTTCAAGTGCCTTTGTCTTAAATTTTCCGTTCAATGCATTCATTCATCAACTTGGACTTCTTTTTGTATGTTAACTCGCAGCCAGCGTCGCTTTTGTGGGGATATGTTATATTTTTATAAACTTTTGATCAACAAATGTGATTCTCCAATGCTTGTCGGTTCTATAGTTGTTCATGTTCCTCCGAGATTGCTTCGCTTTGACTTTCTATTTATAACACCTACTCATAGAACCAATGCCTGTTAAAAACTCTCCTCCAATGTGTTGGTGGCTCTTCCTTAATACTTTCGATCGGGTGCGATCTGTGGAGTCCAAAATAGAAAAAACTCTGAAGGACGCCAACGTGTCTTCAACTGCTAATTTCTCATAAATGTTTTGTATGATCCTTATACTAATAATGATCTAATAAAGGGACAATTCCACACTCATTTCTTATGTTAATTAGATTTAAAGAAAATGCTTACTATTTGATCACGTTTTCAAAAATTTGGAAACAACGCCTAACTAAATGAACGAAAATAAAATCGACCTATAATAATATTTATTTAAAAATATATAAATTATTATAAAAAAATATCATAACGAAAGAATAATATTGTATGCACAAACTGGAGAGCCTCAAACTGTAGTCTCCATATTTCCTAAACAATCTTTGCAGTACGCCATTATGTGCTCCATGCACAACCATCGTTTACAAATTTTGCAAAAATAACTTCTTTTGCAATATTTACAGTTTCCTCTTTTCCTTGGTTGTGGCTCTGGAATAATCTCGTCTTCGATACCTGAGAGCCTCAAGGCAGAAGAGCGCACACTTTTGGTGAACTGCTTATCAACGACTCTTCTTCGCATGTTATCTTCCACTAACTCCATACCAAGATTTTTTTGAAATATGCCCACATTCATATGAAATCCATCACCCACTAAAATTCAAACTAAAATTTTGAAACTTCGGTAAAATAATGCTTTATTATCAATTAAGAAACGATAAAAGTTTCCGCAGAAGAAATTCAACTGTAGTGTTTCCTGTACCATTGTTATCTCCAACTTTCAATATTTTCTTCCTAGCAATAACTGAATTTCTGCCCACAAAATGTCAGTTTATTGCCCAAAGTGCGATGTCGTCGAAATTTTGCCCATATCAATGACTTTGATAGGGGCCGAATTATCGGTATGAAAGAGGCGGGTCTCTCATTCCAAGAGATTGGGAAAAGACTGAATCGAGACCACACTACAGTTGCTCGGATATGGTCTTTATGGTTCGAAGAAGGTATTCAGAGGCGACGTCCTGCTGGAAGACCCGCCCGAAGAAGCAATGCACGCGAAGACCGACTCCTTAGGCGGATGGCTACCAGAGATCGATTTCAAACAATAAGTTCGATTGCTGTCAAATTGACGAGAGCTTTGAACCGACACTTGTCGATGGCAACTTTGGGCTTCATTCATACCATCCTTACCTTCGGCTTCCATTAACACCTCTCCATAAAGCAGCCAGACTTGCATGGTGTGAAGAACTGCAAGGGTGCGTACATCAATGGAATGACATCGTCTTCAGTGATGAATCAAGGTTTTGTTTATGGGTGAATGATGGTCGAAGAAGGGTGCGGCGACATCGAGGGGAAAGACGGAATTTGGAGTTCGTTCAACGACGACACACAGCCTTAACACCTGGGGTTATGGTTTGGGGGGCGATATGTGCTGTACGAAGGTCACCCCTTACGTTCATTCCAAGCACATTAAACGCACGTCGTTAAATCGACAACGTTCTGAAACCGGTGTTAGTACCTTTCATGCAGATGTTGCAGAATGCCACTTTCCAACAGGATAATGCAAGACCCCATACTGCTGTGGTTACAAGAAGGTTCCTGGAGCAGATTGCAGATTTTGCCCTAGCCTGCACGGTCACCGGACTTGTCGCCGATTGAACATGTCTGGGATATGATGGGTCGGCGACTAAGACAAGTACCCAGACCTCCTGAGAATCTGGAGGAACTTCGACGCCGTCTAGAGATTGCATGGAACGAGATACCCCAGAAGGACATCGACCACTTAATAGAGAGCATGGGTAGAAGAGTTAATGCATGCATAGCTGCGCGTGGGGATGCAACCCACTAGCTTTTTCTTGAAAAATGTTAATTTTTGTTTTGTTTTTTTCAACTAAACTTTCATCGTTTCTTAGTTGATAATAAAGCATTATTTTACCGAAGTTTCAAAATTCTAGTCTAATTCCTAATGGGTGATGTATTTCATGTGAAAGTGAGTGTAGTCTACGAGTTTTAGCAAATTCACCATCTGGTCTGTTGCCTTTGTAGATAATAAAAACGTTGATTGCTGCTATATTGAGGAGGTTATAGAAAACTACCATTGGCCAACGTTTTGTGTTTCTGGCAACATTATATGATGTGATCATGCGATCAACTCCACTTTTTGTGCTGTTATAAAAAGTAATTATTTCGGGTTTTTTCCGATGACCGCTGACTTCATCGATATGATTGTCTTGGTGCATTGTTGAAACCATAAGCACATTCGTTTATTTTTTGGGATATATGAAACTGCAGTCATATCGTTAGTAAATACGAATAGGGAGGAATATAACTGACTGTTTTTAGCTTGCGTTATCTCAAGAGGTAGTTCTCTTCTATTGGCTCTAATTGTACTGACCACAGTAAGGCGGTGCTCTGTTGGCAGTTTTTTCACAATTGAATCATGTGAATTTCTTGCTGAACCTGATAAATGTGAACACATTCTTTCAGTTACTGTAGCGGTAGAGTTGTCAGTTTTATATGGGAGATCGGGTTGAATATCAGCATAGATTTCTATGTGCGAAGTGAAAAATATTTTGCCATCAACAACGGCGAAAACTTTCAGTCCGTATTTGTTTGGTTTGTTTGGTATGTACATTCGGAAACTGCACCTACCCCTAAAGGCAAGCAACATTTGATCTAAAGTTATATAGTCGCCCACAGCATAAGTTTCCTTACAATTGTCGTTGAACTTGTCAACAATAGTAGTAACTGCTGCTAGTTTGTCCATTTCTCTTTTTTGATCTTGAGTTGTAGTATCATCTAAGCGGATGCAATTCAATAAGAAGACGAACATGTTTTGCATTGTAGCAGGAAATATCTCATATCCCATACTGTCTGATGACCAATATACTCTTCTAGATGTGTCCTTGATCCATGATGGAGTCCAGCTAAATAAAGCAAACCTCTATTCAGTGTTATCTTGGTATTGAACTGACATTTTACAGCATTGGTGGGAGATAATGCGTCAAATGCTTCACCAATGACCCCCGGGAGGTGAAACACTAAGTTTTAGTTGCGAGTTCTATTATTTCTAGGTGGGACAGCCGTTTTCCATTTAGTTTCATCACAAAATACGAGCATCTATCACGAATCACGGGCTGTTCGTCTTCATCGTCCTCGCCGTCATCCCGATGTTTAGTTTCTGCATCTTCATTTATGTTTTCCTGCTCGGTTTCTGTATCATGATCACTAATACTTACAAAATCGGGATCTGATATCGAACTATCGCCAGATTTCACTGATTACTTTGAGCAATTTGAGGATCTCCTTGAAAGACATAGTATGTGCTATGACACCATAGTATTAATGGGCAATTTCAATACGTGTACATTGAGAGATGACCTGCCTAGTGATATACTTCGCTTTATCACTTCTTCCTCAAATCTATCTATTATCCCTTCTCAGCCGACGCATCACCTTCCTTCGTCCGACTCTCTGCTTGACTTGATCATCTCGTTCTGCATCGATAAGATTCTTGTTCGCGGTCAACTACCTACTCTGCCATTTTTCAACCATGATCTTATTTATTGCGCTGTTCAACTCCGAAATGTAGTTTGTCCTGAGCGTAATCTATCTTACCGTGATTTCAAACATGTTGACTATCAAGAACTCAACTTTGATGCGCTGAGGATGGAAACCGTTATATCTTATGACGGACATTGACGCGAAGGTTAATTATTTTAATAATAAAGTAACATGTTTGTATGACAAACATGCTCCGATAAGGCAAAGGAGGGTGAAACATTTTCCTGCTCCTTGGTTAACTAATGATATTAGGGGTCCCATAAGCGAACGTAATAGAGCAAAAACGTTGTGCAGACGTTCCATTTTTCATCACCAGTGACTATACAATGTAAACAACCCTTTCTTTTATTCCTGGCAAGCAACATTTCACACATGCAAAATCGGCGTTAACATCTCTCGGCTTAAGTTCATATGGAATCCAGTGTCCCTGTTTTTGAATCATTTGGAACGATTTTAAATGATGTAAAATTGCTTGTTGAGTCACATTTAATGTAAGTGCAAGATCGTCTTGCGTTTGGCACGAATCTTCTTCCAATAATGCTTCCATTCCGTGTCTTCGTACACTTTCGGAATTCCACTACGTTTTTTGTCTTACACGTCAAACTCACCGTTTTTAAACATTTCAAACTACTTACTACAACTTCTCTCACTTAAAGCAATCTCACCACATTCTACAAGCAATCGATGCGTTTCGACTGCAGATTTCTTCAAATTAAAGAAGTATATCGCAAGCTCCCTTACTTACTTATTTGATGCTGATACGGAACTTATTATACTCTTTTTAATTTAGGTCCGAGTTGTGCTTATGATAGCAACTGGATTGGAGGAATTGAAGTTCTTAATTTAGCCGTAACCGCTGTACAAGAAGGACATTGTGAGGCCGCAATCATTGGATCAGCTAATTTAGCATTAAACGCAGAAATTTCATTTTTGTACAACGATATGGGGTTACTTTCTCAAGATGGATCAACGAAAGCTTTTGATAAAGACGGTAATTTTGTTTCACTTTATTATTAACCATTAATTAATGTTGTTGTTAAATAACAATTTAATTCTTGTTAAGCTTCCGGTTATGCTAGAGCCGATGGAGTCGTTGTAATGCTAATTCAAAGAGCTTCAGATGCTAAAAGAGTTTACGCCAGCGTGCTTCATTCCGCAACGATTTTTAATGGAGCCCGAGATGGTCCAATTTTTGATCAAAATTTAGAAGGAATGACAAATTTTGTTGACGAATTTTACGAAAAATGCAAAATTAACCCTGCGGACGTTGAATACGTCGAAACGTACGGTTGCGGTGTGAAAAGAACGGACGAAATCGAATTAAACGCTTTGGAATCGGTTTATTGCAAAAACCGAAAATCTCCCCTTTTAATTGGGTCAATAAAACCTCAAACCGGGCACAGCGAAGCAAGCGATAATTTATTTTCGATCGCCAAAGTTTTGGTTGCAATGGAAAATAAAAAAATCCCCGCAATGTTGCAATTTAAAAATCCAAATCCGAATATTCCCGGATTATTAAACGGCAATTTAGAGGTTGTTACAGAAAATAAAGATTGGAAAGGCGAATTGGCCGCGGTTCATGGAATCGGATTGTGTTCTTCTTACGCGCATGTTTTATTAAAAGGAAATCCGATTTTAAAAACGCCAATTAATAACGATTTGCCGAAATTAGTGGTGGCATCGACTCGAACGGAAAACGGAATCCAAGAAATTTTAAAAACGGTAATTTAATACTTTCATTTAATTAATTTTAATTAAATTATTTTTTTCGATTAATTCCAGTTGCAAGAAGAAAAAGATATCGATGACGAATACATCGGGTTAACGCATAATTTCTTTTCAAAAACCGTTTCAGGGCATTTATATAGAGGATACACAATTTTGGATGAAAGCGAAAACCCAAAACATGAATTCGAAGTAAGTTTTTTTTAATTTAAAGTTAATTAATCACACAAATCTACAAGATTTGTTGTCGATCAGCTGAGAGTCATTTCAGAAGTAATTTTTTACGAAGAATCATAATCCAAGCTTCGAATTAGATCATCACATCAGCATTTTGAGATATTCAAAAGTAGCCTTAGACTTTTGAAGTTATGTATGAGACACACAATATTATTTTGCTGTATTCTATCCATTACATCATTCAGGACTATCCTTGTCCTTCAAATTGCGTGTATATTAAATTCTTGGAATGGCATCATGTCTTATTTAAATTTCTGATGGCAATAATATATTTTCCGAGCACTTTATTGACATCAACTGATTTAGTTTTTGGTCGATTAATTTTTTGGCCTTATAAGGTGATGATTTTAAAACTTTTTGCGCCTTAGTACAATACACAGTAGCTGCAAAAACGCCACAAGATTCAGCATTTCTGTAAATAAAAACTATTTTTAAGGTTAAGGCAGGGCCGGATCACACCTTTTATGGGCCCGAGGCGCTCTCTATTTTTGAGCCCCAAAAAAGTCTAATATTACCATTTAAGTATTATGTCTAATAATAATAATAATGTTTATTGCCTCTAAAACAAGTATTTCCATAAATATATACATTCATAACAAATATAGACATCAAGGCAAACTGATCAATTTATCGCAATAAGCGATATCTTACAAGAGACCCAATGGTAACAGTGTATATGTAATTTTAAATAAATAATTATGGCTACCAAAAAAGTAATACTAAATGATGTGCTAATACGACTGAGCGAATGAGCATATTTGAGTTATGTGACGAATCGACAGTCAGTTACGACAAGGAGGGAAATAGACATAAAAAAAGTGCAGTAAAAGATAGATGAAAGGCAGACTAGAGAAGAAAACAAACACGTATAGGTCAAGAAGAAGATAGTTGAAGAGATAGCAGATGGCGCCTCAAGGCATTTTTAAAACTTATTAAACTAGCTGCATTGCGAACAACGGCAGGCAAATCGATTGCACTGTAAAAGATCTGTGGTAGATTTCAGTACTATGGACTGGAAACATGAGTGTAGAGTCCGACATTGATCGAGTGGGCAAGTCGTGTGATGCTAAAAAAGTGAAAGGCATCGGACAAATAAGCAGGAGTGCGGGTACAACATAGTAAGCATACGAAATGATCTGCGATTCTGGTAACTCCTCATCTGCAGGTTGTTACGATATGGAGTAATCTGTTGCAACTTTCCTAAATCAAAAATGTACCGTATGCAATTGTCCTAAAGTCTTTCCAATTTACCCCGAAGGGCTGCGGACAAATCGGGACACGCAGCATCGGCATAATCAATGTGGGGGAAAATGAGAGAATAACAAAAATTATGACGTACAACAGGAGGAAGGTAGCAGCGAAATTTTTTCAAAGTATGAAAACAGAAGTAAACCCTCTTATAGACTCCCTGAACTTGTGGCCGCCAAGACATCGCCGAATCCATTACCACACCAAGATTTTTGACCGTATTAGAAAACGGAATAACGGTGGTACCAAGCCTCAGTTGAAGGATAGTTCAGGAATTAAATTGTGCCAGCAAGGCGCGAGTGTCAAATGCAATGGCTTGCGTTTTACCTGGATTCAAGTTACGTCTAGACCAGTCAAGCACGCTAGAGAGATCGTTGTTAAGATGCAACAACGCATCTGAGATTTTGTTAACAGTTGACGAAATATAAAGTTGAAGGTCATCTGCATACAAATGATAGTTACACGAGATACCATCACTAATTCTATTTATGAAAATTGAGAAGAGCAAAGGACCCAGCACACTGCCCTGGGGAACTCCACATTTGATGTCAACAGGAGAAGAGAGTACAGATTCCACGCGGACACGTAAAGACCGATAGGAAAGGTAGGACTGGAACCAAGATACACAAGAAGAGATAAAGCCAATAGCAGAAAGCCTAGTTAACAGGAGGGCATGGTCCACAGAATCAAAGGCCTTATAAAGGAAATGAGTTATAGGTGACCAGTTATTAGGTCCATTTTTTTATTCCAAATAGATTCACAGGCGATGCTTCCATATTTTTTTACAAAATGAGCTTACTGAGGCATTTGGTGAATTACCCTCCAAATGCTTGCAAACCTTGATGCACGATGGAGCACCAGCACATTATCCACGTGCTACTCGAGTGTACTTAGATGACAGATTTGATAATAATTGGATTGGCCATGGTCCTGTTACGTGGCCACCTAGTTTACGATTTTTAAATCCGTTAGATTTTTGGTTTTGATGACATTCAAAATAAATAGTTTATTCTGAAGAAGTTTAAAATGTTCAGGATTTGAAAAATACAATTGGTAACCCATTGAAAGTAGTAAAACAAATGTTAATCATACAATTACTACATCTAAATCGTTACAATTGGTTAACAATGATGTTAACAATAGGTTATTATTATTAACTTATGAAACTAAAACTTTGAATATTTCGAAAATGGACCATTTTCGGACCTATCTTTATTAGACTCTTTTGTCTATTTTCGACCAGAGAATACGCTGGTGAAGTACTGTACAATCATTGCGGGACAGCCTGTATAAACAGTATCCGAAAAAATTCCGGTGTGGAGCCAGGTTTCCATGAGGTAAATAATATCGTAACATTTTACGAGTTGTTAAAAAGGGTCGGCAACCTGCAGCGAATGTTTCGCACATTCTGTTCAAGTTGTAGTTATATACAACTAACAGAGTGTTAGTTCTAGTTTTAGTTCTAATTTTAGTTCAATTAACACCGGCCGTGAAAGCATTCGTACTTATATTATTAACCTTTATGGAGAGGATATCAACAAACAAATCAAGGATTTGGATAACTCACGAATTACACAACGCAAGCTGTTGAGCAGTTTGGCTTTTCTACGAAGATGCAGAGAGAAGAAAGTAACGCCAACCTTCTTGAAGGTGAAGCACCACATCGACTCCGCTGCACCACGTAGAATCTTGATTAGGACAGAACAAGCACTACTACGAGAAAGAATCCACAAGATCTTCAATGATCTACAGAAAATAAGTGAGAAGTTACTACGACTCCACCTCTCAGTTTCCAATTTTAAAGGATTGAACTACGCAATCGCCCCGAGGAAGGTCCCGGATGAGGAAATCATCTGCCAAGTGGAAGCGGCTGTTCGAGGGATGCCCGCACTAAAAGCCGAAGAGATCCGACAAGAAGTTGCGAGAGTACTGAAGTCAGCAAAACTACCGAAATCGAACTTGACAGTTGGTGAAAAGAAGGCATTCCGATCTATTAAAGAAAAGTCAGAAATCGTCGTGTTACTAGCAGACAAGGGGAATGCCACCGTTGTTATGGACCAGAAAGAATATTACGACAAAATGATGAACCTACTGGACCCAGCCACTTACAGGAAGATCAAGAAGGACCCCACAGACAGAATCGTAAGGAAAATGAAGGACCTGATAAAATCCACAGGAATTCCAGCAGAACATCAGAAATGATTGTTTGTGCAGGCGCCGGTACCACAAAAGAATTTATGGACTACCGAAGATTCATAAACCAGACGTCCCCCTCCGCCCGCCCTATCGTCAGTGCCATCAACTCTAGGATTGCCATTTTTAAAAGCAACTACAGAGGAGATTCTTAAAAAATATATAGGAAATTCAAAAACTATAGAGGAGATTAAATTTTTCAAATTTCTTTTTTAATAATAATTTATTATTTTTG